GGGGCCACGGCATCCGCGTGGCGGTGCCCCGAGGAGGGCGGGCCTTCTGGGGAGGAGGAGCTGCCGACGCCGCCACCATATTAGAGCCTGTTTTTCTTTATATCCAGGCAAGCTTACTTGCATGGCGTTCGCCCCCCCCCCCTCGCCCCTCTTCAATCGAACACGAGCGTGCAAGCGCCTTTCGACTTGCGTGATTTCCGCACGTCGAATTGTTTTCGGCTTGCTTCAGACTCAGCCCCCCCCCCCCGTCCATGCAAGTAAACTTGCCCGAATCCAAAGAAAAACAGGCTCTTATCGCTTCGTTTTTGTGCGCCCTGCTGCGCCTCCCGGGGAGGCCCTCGCCGCCACCGCCGACCTTCGCCTCGCAGTGCTGGGCAGGACGCACCGCGGCAGAGGTCCGGGGAGGAGCGGCATCGGGTACTCGTTGGTTTCCCGAAGTGCGGTAGGTTCGCGTCGTGTCGACCCGCGGCGATACCGCCGCCCGCGCTCCACGTTGGGCGCCGCTGGCGACCCAGGATCGGTCGATGTTGAACGGCCTGGCCTGTCGGAAACGGCCGATCGTGCCAGAATGAAGGATCCCCGTGGTGTCAGAAACCAACGCCGAAATCGGCACGACACGAACCTGCCGTAGCGGTCTGGTTCAGATGGGTCTGCGGTGAGACGCGCAATCGTTTGCTAATGGCAAACTGCAGGCGCTCGTAGCGCGTGCATCAGGACGCAACCGTTTCGGGCGGGGCACAAACTCTGGCAGGGGTGGCAACTAGTGCGTGTGAGAAAAAAGCTAAACAAGTTCACCCGCGCGCAATTTTCACATCCAGCACGCGAGCCGTTGCATCCAGGTACCAAGTGCGGACCCATCTGCGTCAGACCCACTACTCCGGCTTGGCGAGTGGAGACAATCGTCGTTGGCCCCCTGGGGGCCCCCAGCGTCGCAGCGGCTGGGCGCAGCTCGAAGAACTGGTGCGCTCGGGCCCCGGGAGGGGTCTGGGGGCCGATCTTGAGTTTCGGGGGCGGCCACAGAGGGGGGTGATGACAAGGGGGGGGTGGATATCATGTCGTTGGCCATGATATCTCCCCAGATTTCCTGGCGCCTCTTCTTATTTCGTGACGTCCCTAGCCCCCCCGCTGGGTCGTGCACATGCCGCCGGTCATGATTTGCACCCCCCTCTCTTGGACACCCCCCTCTTGGCCGCTCCCGATCAACTCGCCCTGCTCCAAGGTGCGCATCCGGCCGCTGGCCGCCCGCGAGCTGCAGGACCCGGTGCGAGATCGAAGCGGGAACGGAGGCGAGGAGCGGCAGCAGATCCTGCCCACTCTGAGCAGGGCTCGCCGTCGGCGTCGCCGGGGGCGCCGTCGCTTGCGAGAACAAGAGGGTCGCCCGCCTGCGGTCAGGCGCTTCTTGATTCGCGTGTCGCCCCACTGGTTCTGGCCCACCGCGCCCCGGAGCGACACGCTGTCCACGTCGCGACCCTTAGGCATCCACGTGCTGAGCTTTAGCCTCTCGCCCCGCGGAGCGGAGCGACACACCATCCGCTCGCGAGGCATAGCGTGTCGCCAGGGCCTCCGCCGCGACACGTTGAGCAAGAGCCCCCGATAGGAGCAGCAGTCGGTGCCAGTTGCTCAATGGTCCTCAGGAAGTGTGTTACCCCAAGCGACTGTGTTGCCCCGTTCGGCTCCGCCGATGGTGCGCAGTCTGTGTCGGCCCTCGTTGCGCCGTCTGCGTCGCATCGAGGGGCCTCCGTGGACAAGCACACGTTGACGCTAAGGCACGTTCTGAGGATCATCGAGTTTGGGGCACGACATCTGCTGCTCGGCAGCGCGCCCTTTGTCAGGAGAGGAAAAAGCACGCAGACACAAGTAATCCTCGATTCATCCGAAAAAAGATTGGAAACCATGGGACGTGAGGGGGGAGACAGAAACCCAGAAAATATGGGAAAATCTGGGGAATCTTTTTCTTTGTGTGTCTTTATTTGTGTGTCCTGGGGCCCCTTCACTTTTTGTCTGTCCGCACCCGTGCTGGGCGGGCCGGCAGGAGCCGCGCGCGCACGCCGGCGCCGTGGAGGTGGCGGGCAACGCCGTGATCTCCCGGCACGGCGACCGCACCCGGCTCTCGCTCGGGATGGAGAAGGAGGAGATGAGCTCGATGTTCGTTTCGGGGACCTTCCTGGAGCCCACCTAACGGATCTGTTCGACCCCAGTTCGACTCAAGTTCGATTCAAGTTCGACTCAGGTTCGACTCAGGTTCGACTCAGGTTCGACTCAGGTTCGGCTCAGGTCGACCCAAATCGACTCACGTTCGACGCAGCTTCGACGCACGAGTGGAGCGAGTGGCTCCAGGAAGGTCCCCAGAACGAGCATCCGAGATGAGGGGCAACGTTGATTAGGGGGGTAGGCTAAGGGGGGAGGGGGGGGGCAGGAGCCGCTTCGACTCTGGCGATTCGAATCGAGGATTCCGACTTCGATCCGACTCGATGCGACTCTAGAGTCGGACCGTGACTGGGGTTTTCTCGTGCATGCCTCGGCTTGCGCTGGCAGACGTCGATTCCAACGCTTTCTGATCTGCATGCGGATGCCTGCCGGTTCGAAGAATTTCGATCGCTGATTCGATTTTCCGATTCGATTTTGGGTCATCTTGGGGGGTCGACCAGTTCGAGGATAGAGGTTTACTGGTATTTTCGCTGGTTCTCAACGGTTTTCCAAGATCGGGATTGCTCTTCGGCAGTTGCGCTTCGCTGAGAGTGTTCTGGGGGCTGCTTGGATTGTCCCGAACGGCCGCCGGAGGCCCGAGTTATGGCCCGAAAGCCACCGAGGACGGGGATGTGCTCAGCGGGGGATGGCATCGACCCCCTGTCCAATGATCGCCGCAGGGGCCCGATAGCCCACCTCGCCCAGGAACGTGCAGTTCCGTTATTCGTGGACCTATCTCCGACTTACCTGCGATGAATCGCCGATTCCAGCTCGACGGTGTCCCCCCCTGAGCTGGTCTCCAGCTTCCGTTCCCTCTCAAAGGAGAGGGAGAAGGCGTTCGGCTTCGACGTGATCCTGGACTCGAGGGACAGGGAGTCGCCCGAGCACGCCTCGCAGGAGGCGGTGTTCCAGGCCATCGGCGTGCCCATCCTCGAGGACGCGCTGGACGCCTACAACGGCTGCCTGCTGGCCTACGGCCAGACCAGCTCCGGGAAGAGCCACAGCGTCCTCGGCGACTGGCACCACGAGGCCGAGCGGGGGCTGCTGCCCCGCGCCTGCCAGCGGCTCTTCGACATGGTGGGCCGCCGCAGGCGGGAGGCGGAGGTTCGGGGGTGGACAGACCTCCTACCCTGACACGTCGATTAAGGAATTGGCCGTGTTCGGTTCGCGAGAGGGCGTCGCGGCCGTCACTTTTGCGGGTCCAGGTCCGTCGGTTTCGGTCCCCGGCCGTTTTCACTAAGGGGTGGTCTACTAAAGAGAGCTCTGTCCAGCACGCCGAGAGGTGGCCGGCGCGCGGCTCGAGGCCACAGTGCTGGCGAGCTACCTGGAGATCTACCAGGAGCGGGCGCTGCGGGAAGTGGCCCCTGGCCCAGGGCGGCGGCGGCTGCCCCAGGCCCAGGCCCCCTCGAGCCACGAAGGAGGAGGAGGAGGAGGAGGAGGAGGAGGAGGAGGAGGAGGCAGGCTCAGGCCTCGTCCTCCTCCTCCTCCTCCTCCTCCTCCTCAGGTCGAGACCTGAGTCGTGGGGGGAGGCGGCTCGCCGTGTTCGGCCCCTGGGGGCCCTCACCGGGCCTGGGGCCCGTCAGCAGGAAGGCCCGGGGTGAGAAGTCCGTCCCGGGGAAGGGGTCGAGACCTCTAAGGGTCGACGCTTTGACAAAAAAGCATGACGTCGGAGATTTGGGGAGGGAGGCGCAGGTGGCTTCCAGAGCACCCCTCGCGAGGCCCACTTGGATCACCGCGGAGGCTGCCAGTGGATAGGGGGTTACAAGTGGATGCCAAGGTGGCTTATATCTGGCCTAGCCGAGCTTGTAAGTGCCCTGAGCGGCTTGGGCGGGCACGCTAACTCCGTTCAGCGGGCGGAGCCCATTCAGCCTGGATCATGCTCCCCCTGAAACCACTTAAGCCGCTGAAAAGCTAGGTTAAGACAGATATGCCCCGCCTTCGCATCCGCTTCTAGCCCCCGATCCACTTAGCAGCCACTCCGGTGACCCAAGAAGAGGGCCCCAGAGGCCCCCAAGGGGCGCGAACAGCTGGGAGCACCTCGGGCCATGGGCCGCCTCTGGCAGCACCCGCCAGGAGAAGATGTACGACCTGCTGTCGAGCGCCCGCGCCGACCTGCAGGTGCGCGTGCACCCGCTGCTGGGGCCCCACGTGCCGTCGCTGACCGGCTGCCCCGTGGAGGGCATCCAGGAGGTGAACGACCTGCTGGACTTCGGGGCCAAGAACCGCGCGGTCGGCGCGACCATCCGAAAGAGAACACTTGGCATGACCATACAGTCACTCTCGGGGCTCCGCGCGGACTTCTTGGATCGGCGCTGCGGCCCCCCATGGCGGCACCTCCAGCGCCGCCCCTCGCGCGCCAGGGAGGGGGTTTTCCAGCGGCGATCCAACAAATCCGCGCGGAGCCCTGGGAGTTTATATGTTTATGTAATTCGTTCTTTCTCTGTCCATGATGAACGCCAAGTCGTCCCGCTCTCATGCCGTTTTCACCCTAGAGCTGCGGCTGAGCCTCCACGGCGCCGACGCCAGGGACATGCAGTCGAAGGTGCATTTTGTGGACCTGGCGGGGAGCGAGAGGACGAAGACGGCACACACGTGCGGCGAGCGCCTGCAGGAGTCGAAAAACAGAAACGGCATAAACCGAAGTTCAGAGAGCTCCGCGCAGATTTCTTGAATCGGCGCCACGCCCCTCCTGGCATTTTGTCTGGCGCCGACCCTGGCGCCGGAGGCACCCCAGGGAGGGGGGTCCAGCGCCGATCCAAGAAATCCGCGCGGAGCTCCAAGAAATTATGGTTGCCATGTGTTGTTTTTCCAAGGAGGGCATCGCCATCAACCAGTCGCTCTCTTCCCTGAGCCGAGTCATCATGTCCCTCGCGAACGGCCAGGGCAATATCGCTGTGTTTCGCGAGTCCAAGCTGACCCTGCTTCTGAAGGACGCGCTGTCTGGCAACAGCAGGACAGTACTCCTCGCCTGCATCAGCCCAGCTGCGACCAACGTGCAGGAGACCGTCAGTACCTTGGAGTTCGCAGCGCGCTGCAAACTAATCAAGACCAACGCCAAGAGGAACGAGCAAGACAGGCGAGATCTCATCAACAGCCTCTCCGAGGAGAAGCAACGGATCCAGAGCCAGCTTGAGCTCGAGCTTAGACAGCGCCAGGCGTTACAGGAGAAGCTCGACCGCGAGATCCAGCAGTCCCAGGAGAACCAACAGCTTGCCAACCGCATGCGTGAGGAGAAGCTCGCCATCGAAGGCCAGCTGCGCACCCTCGAGGAGGCGTCTGGCATGAGGCAGAGGGCGGCATCGGAGGAGGTGGAGCGGCTGACCAGGGAGAAGGACGGCGAGGTCCAGGCTCGGGAGGATAAGCTGAGGATGCTCGTGGAGCAGGAGATCGGCCGCTACGAGAGCAAGGAGGAGGACCTGCGGCGGGAGCTGGCAGGGCTCCAGAGCCTGAGTGACAGTTGGCTGCTGGAGACCGAGGAACAACAAAAAACGCATAGGCAAAACTGTTGGAGCTCCGCGCGGATGTCTTGGATCGGCGCCAGAGGCGCTGCCAGGGGGGGGCCAGCGCCGATACAAGAAATCCGCACGGAGAGTCGAAAGAGTATGGTTACGCCCTTCTTGGCATCGCTCGGACGTGGGCAAGCATCAGAAAGTGTGGGCCATCTAGGAGCATGTTGGATTATCTTGCGAAGGCGAAGAAACGCGCACACACAAAACATATATATATATATACACACACGCACGCACACACGCACACACAGAGGCACACACAGACAGACACACACACACACACACACACACACACGCACGCACGCGCGCGCGCGCGCACGCACCCACACACACAAACACACACACACACACACACACACACACACACACACACACACACGCACGCACACTCGAAGCCGTAAAGTGCGCAGGGGAATGGACGTGTCAGAGCGATGGCAGGGCATTTCTGCTCCTCCAGGAGAAGCAGGACCTGGAGCGCCAGGCCCGCGAGCAGAGGGTGCGGAGGGAGCAGCTCCTGGCGGACCTCGGCGTGGTGGGCGCGGAGGGCCTGGAGGAGTCCCGCCAGGCCCCTCCTCACTCCCCTCCTCCTCCTCCTCCTCCTCCTCCTCCTCACTCCCCTCCTCCTCCTCCTCCTCCTCCTCCTCCTCCTCCTCCTCCTCCTCCTCCTCCTCCTCCTCCTCCTCCTCCTCTTCCCTCCTCCCCTCCCTCACTCCCCAATGGCTTTGATACGCTTTAGGGTTGAGTCGTATCGCCCCACTTTGTGCTCCAGACCTCCGCGTGCAGCTCTCTGACGACTCTTGAGTGGATCGGCGCCGACTGTTCGCTTGCGCCGTCCTCGGCCCGAAGTATCACAATTGGGAAACGCCCCGCCAGGCCCCCAGGCTGGTGAACCTGCACGCCGACCCCATGCTCGAGGGCTGCTTAATATACTACCTGCCGCGCGGGGAGACGCACGTCCCGAGGAAGAGAAGACCGGCACGGACAGCCTTTCGGAGGCTCCGCCCTGGGTCTCTTGGATCGGCGCTGGGGCTCCCTGGAGGACGCCTCTGGGGCCCCGCCGCTGGCGCGCGCCCCGCGCGCCGGGGAGAGAAGGGGCCCCAGCGCCGATCCAAGACGTCCGCGCGGAGATCTCGAAAGCTCATGCTTGCGCCAGTTTTTTTGTCCTCCCGGCATCGGAGCAAGCGCCGAGCACTGCCGGGTCTGCCTGCTCGGCCTGGACGTGGCGGACGAGGTCCGGCTGGGCGTGAGAGTGATCTTCAGCCCGAGTGACCTGTGGTGCGGGCCCACAGGGTCGGTTCGCGTGCTTGGATTTTGGATTTGGCCCTCCCGCGGCCCCCTAAAGCCGCGCTCCAAAGTTGTTCCTCACTCGTGCGCGTAGCCAAGGTGTGCGCTGTGTCGAACGAGGACGACAGGCACGTCGTGGTCCGGGCGCTGCCGGGCGGGCTGGCGCGGGTGAACGGGGTTGCCGTCGCCGAGGCACCGCAGACGCTCTGCCACGGAGACCGGCTCGCCATCGGCCGCGCCCACATCTTCCGCGTGGTGGTGCCGCTGGGCCGCAGGTCTTCCGAGGAGCGGAGTGACGAGGAGGAGTTCAGCCGGGCCATGCACGAGCTGGAGGCCTGCGCAGAGGTGGACCCCCTCCTGTGGCGAGGGGTGGATGCGGCGGTCCTCGCTGTGAAGCGTGACTGCGGCACGCGGGAGGCCAACGCCATCCTCGACGAGGCCAAGGCAGCGTCCGAGGTGGTGGCAGAGGCCAACGCCATCTTGCGGCTGGTGCCGAAAGAGTGGGCCGGCGGTGTCTCCAGCTACGAGCTGGCGGTGCTTCTCGGGGCTGGCGGCCTCCCCGAGGTCTGCGTCGCGGCCAGGCGCGGAGGAGGGGGGCGGGGCGCAAGCGCCGGCATCTGGGAGGTGGAGCGTTTCAAGAGCGACCGCCTGGACCACATGCGAGAGGCCGCGGACCTCATCGCGTCTGGGGCGAAGCAGGGGCCCGTGCGAAGCGGCGGCGGCAAGGGCGTCGCAGCCGGCGGAGGCGACTGGGAGGCACACGCGTGGTCCGAAGTCCCCCTGGACGATTTCCGCACCATCGCGAGGCGCTTACAAGAGCAGCGCGAGAGGTGCGACGAGCAGGAGCGCGCGAGGGGTGGCACCATGTGGGACTCCTTCTTCAGCTGGGGCCTCAAGGACTCGCGCGGGGCAGATTCCGCCCCCTGGCTGGGAGGGCACCTCTGGGGCGGCGCAAGCTTCTGGGATCTGCTCGCCGAGCCCCACAGGCTGCTGGCAGGGAGCCCACCACGGGGCGCAGCGGCGGTCCTGGACCAGCCTGCGCCGCTGCCAGCAGCCGCACCGCCAGCAGAGAGCTCAGCGCAGAGAGCCTCCTCGCGGAGGCCGGCACCTGCGCGGCCTGCGCCGGAGCCGCAGGAGGCGGAGCGCCAGGGCAGGGCAGGCGGCGGGGTCGCCGCAGGGCCCTGCGCAGAGCCGCGCAGCCCCAGCCACCAGCTTTAAGTCGGGCCTGTCCCCCTACAGGAGGAATGTTCAAAGTTATCCCGGCAAAGCAACCTAACAGCGATGTGTATAAGCATATCTGGAAGCATTCCCCTTACGATTCAGGTGAGAATCCAGTTGTAGAATTCTGCTGTTCTCGCAGTCGCAGTCGCATTCGGAAATTCGCAATGACAGTCGCAGTGGCAACGGCCTCAGGATCCAATGGAATCCTAAGAGCTCCTAGGGATTCCTAAGGCATCCTTAGGCATCCTTAGGAATCCATAGGAATCCTTAGGAAACCTTAGCCTCAGCCTCAGCCTCAGCCTGCCTCAGCCTGCGTCAGCCTCAGCCTCAGCCTGCCTCGGCCGCAGCTTGCCTCAGCCTCAGCGACAGCCTCAGCCTCAGCCTCAGCCTGCCTCAGCTTCAGCCTCAGCCTCAGCCTGCCTCGGCTTGCCTCAGCCTCAGCCTCAGCCTGCCTCGGCCTCAGCCTCAGCCTCAGCCTGCCTCGTCAGCCTCTCAGCCTCAGCCTGCATCAGCCTCAGACTCAGCCTCAGCATCAGCCTGCATCAGCCTCAGCCTCAGCCTCAGCCTCAGCCTGCCTCAGCCAGCCCTCAGCCTCAGCCTCAGCCTGCCTCGCTTGCCTCAGCCTCAGCCTCAGCATGCCTCGGCCTCAGCCGCAGCCTCAGTCTGCCTCAGCCTCAGCGTCAGCCTCTCAGCCTCAGCCTGCATCAGCCTCAGCCTCAGCCTCAGCCTGCCTCAGCCTCAACTTCAGCCTGCCTCAGCCTCAGCCTGCCTCAGCCTCAACTTCAGCCTGCCTCGCCTCAGCATGCGTCAGCCTCAGCCTCAGCCTGCCTCAGCCTCAGCCTGCCTCAGCCTCAGCCTCAGCCTGCCTCGGCGTGCCTCAGCCTCAGCCTCAGCCTGCCTCGGCCTCAGCCTGCCTCGGCCTCAGCCTGCCTCAGCTCGGGCATTCAAAATATGGCACAGGACTTATGTTGTGGGAACACGAAGATCACGAAGTGGCCCACAGATGGCTCTGGGCAGTCAAAATATGGTACAGGAACGGTGTTCCGGGAACGCGAAGAACACGAAGTGGCGTATACAGTTGGCTCCGGGCATTCAAAATGTGGCCTGGGAATGGTGTTCTGGGAAGACGAAGAACACGAAGGGGCCTACAGTTGGTTCCGGGCATTCAAAATATGGCCTGGTAATGGTGTTCTGGGAACACGAAGAACACGAAGTGGCCTACAGTTGGCTCCGGGCATTCAAAATGTGGCCTGGGAATGGTGTTCTGGGAAGACGAAGAACACGAAGTGGCCTACAGTTGGCTCCGGGCATTCAAAATGTGGCTTGGGAATGGTGTTCTGGGAACACGAAGAACGCGAAGTGGCCTGTAGTTGGATCCGGGCATTCAAAATGTGGCCTGGGAATGGTGTTCTGGGAATGGATTCCTAAGGATTCCTAAGGATTCCTGGGGCTGCCCGATCCTGCCGGTTTTGTCCGGTTCCCGCCCAGACCCCCTTGGGGCGTCAAGATGTTCTCTTTCGACACCACTAGAAACTTATCAGCAAGAGCTGTTAGGTAAATAGTGAAAATATGGTCTGGGGACTATTTTTGACTATTTTTGGGCATCTTTTGAATATGTCTTGGGTATTTTTTATTTTTCGGTGCAAATCCCCCTGTAGGGGGACACGCCCGACTTAACACCAGCTCCGGCGCGCCACCCTGGGCACCACGCCCGGCTGCGGCGGGAGCCCGGGTGCGCGCTGGCCCGCCTCCGAGGAGGAGCCCATCGTGATGGGCGTGTTTTCCACCACCACCACCATAAGTTGGAGGGGGGGGTCCTCCTCCTCCTCCTCCTCCTCGCCCTCCTCCTCCTCCTTCCCCCCTCCAACTTATGGTGGTGGTGGTGGTGGTGGAAAACAGGCTCATCACATCGGCTCGGACATCGCCGTCGCTGGCGACCCGGGACGGGCAGCTGGCGACGGCTCTGCAAGCAGCCGGCGCTTCACCGTCGGCGCCGCGGCCGGCGCGTCCTCGTCGGCGTCCTCCCCGTCCCGAAGGGCGCGCACGTACGGCGAGGTGGCGGAGATCCGCGTAGAGGAGCTCTTCAAGGGCCGCCTCGGCGTCCGGCTCAGGATGGAGGGCCTGGTCGTGTCTGGCTTCGACGTCCCCGAGGCTCGAGGAAGAAGCGACAACCGAAGGGACAAATATAGACAAACACTAATAAACGCTGACCTCCATTAAGATACTTGGTATATTTGTGTATATGCATACATACACATTTACACACACACACATATATATATATATACAACCGAGGGGAATAAGAGCATCCAACAACATATCGATAATATCAGGGATGCTGGAATGTGTGTAGATTTGCATGTGTCTCCCTGGGCCCTCTTTCAATATGCCACACACACATGAGCTCCGCACGGGTTTCTTGGACCTGCGCTGGACCCTCCTGGCGGCGCCTCTGGCGCCGTCCTTGGCGCGCAGAGCGCGCCAGGGAAAGAGGCCCAGTGCCGATCCAAGGAATCCGCGCGGACCACCGAAAGTTTTGTTTATGCAGTTGTTGTTCCTCTGCAGGCGAAGGAGATCGGATGGCGGGTGGGCGACGAGGTGATCGCGGTGAACGGAAACAGGGTCAACAGCAAGGAAGACTTCCGCTCGGAGCTCGTGGAGGCGCGTAAAGAGATGCCCATCGTCTTCCTGGTGGCTCGGCTGCCGCCAGGATCCCCTCCAGCGAGGTCTCCCGGCGCAGGAGGATCGGGGGCCTCAAGACGGCGCGGTGACCACACCATGCGGTGAGTCAGTGGGCATCCGGGGTCACCACACGGTTTTCTCGGGTCGTTCTCCGAGGACCTCTCGGGCGACCAGAGCCTCCAGGGTCCCACAACCGTGTGGTGCCGGACCGTGCGCTGAGATCTTCTTGGATTTCGAGGTCACTACACCGTTTGGGGACCCCCAATGAGGGTAGACGAACGACTCCGACCGAGCTCTCCCTGCCCAAGACGGCGGTGCGCGGCACTGAAGGTTCAGCGAGCGCCAAGCGGTGCACTCCAGCGTCGCGGACATCTTACCCGAGAGACGGAAGACCATGGGGTTGATTGCGCCGGCATTGGCGCGTAAGGTGCCCGCGCAAGGTCGCGCGCAAGCGCCCTCTTCTCTACGCGGAGTCCCACGCTGGCGGCCCGCGTGAGCCGCGGCGCAAGGTCGCTGCTTCATCTCGCATGAGACCCTGTTCTTTCATCGCTCACCTGATCGAGGAGGTCGCCCCACCAGTGCGCCAGTGCGGCGTGCCCCACTCCGCTTCCGCCCCACCCCGCACGGGGCCGCGGCGGCCGAGTCGGCGGTAGGGGCCGCGACGCTGGGTCTCGGGTGCCGCCGACGTGGCCGCCCGGCGGCCTCTCGGCGCCGCGCGGCGGGCCGCGGCGAGAGCCGGGTCGCGGCAGGGCTGTGCGGTGGCCTGCTCGCGCCGGCGGCCGTGGTTGCCGAAGGCCGCCAGCGGCGGCCGCCGTCTGACGATGGGCTCCAGGAAGCCGCCAGGGCGCCAGTAGGGGGCCGCATGCGAACCCTACCCCTACCCCCCACGATCCAGGAGGGTGGGGTTCACTTCGCTCGCCAGGGCGCCAGTAGGGGGCCGCAGTGGGCACCCCGAGCTGCCGCCAGGCGGCGGGCGCTGGGGCTGCCGTGGCCAGAGGGGGCGTGCGCGTGCGCGCGCGGCGGGCGGCGGCTCCGTGCCCGGGAGGCTGGGGGCCCGCGCGGCCGCCTGGTCCTCCTGCCTGAGCATGCTCTCGGGGTGGAGGGCTGCCGGAGCATTTTCCTCCTGCCTCTGCCCTCCACCCCCAAAGAGAGAGCTCGGTCCTGCTGCTCCTCCTCCTCCTCCTCCTCCTCCTCCTCCTCCTCCTCCTCCTCCTCCTCCTCGCTCGCCTGAGTCTGCACCGGAAGGCTCGGCTGCACGCACGAGTGGCCCTTCACCAGAGTGGCCTTTGCTGCGCGGCTTTCGGGGGGCGCTGCGTGGCCTTGCCCAAAGCAGCCCGCCACCGTCGCACCGCACGCAACGGCCGGCAAGCCGCGCACTAGAGGTCATCCTTGCCAAGAGTTACCCGTCGGTTGTTGAAAGTAAGTGTATCTGGGTTCTGAGATCCCCATCTACTTCAAGCGCCTTCCTACTTCAATCATCGATATGACTGTGCGTCTTGTTGTTATTATCCGGGAGGGCCTGAACCCAATCTACTTCATCCTCATTCCTATTTCTTCCTCCCAGCTTCTTCCGACCGGCGTGTGCTCCTACGTGTAGCCGCCATGAGCGACGGAAGAAAACGGAATCGGTTGCGCTGACATTCGCGCGTAAGTGTTCCGCGTCAGGCCGGGCGTAAGCGCCCTCTTGTCAACGCGGTGTGCCATGTTTGCGGCCAGCGTGAGCCACGGCATCAGGTTGCTACTTGGTCAAGCAGTGGCGAAGAGCGTCCCAGCTCGCCTGCAGGCCGACCAGAGAATGTTCTGATAACCTTGTGGCTTGCAAGAGTGTTTTTGGAACATTTCTAGCTGAGACCGTCTTGGTTTAACTCATCGGCTGCACATTCTAAGAAACGATAATTTCGTGGTAGGTATAAAGAAATGCCAGGACGGCCAGTTCCTGCTCAACGCAGGTCCTCCACAAGCTCCAGGCCGAAACCCTCGAAAACGGAGCTCCAGGCCCAAATCCTCGAAGACGGGTCCCTTCTCAAATGACGTGTTTTCGAACAAAAAACGTCTGCATTCGCTCACATTGGGCACATTGTGGTCGAGACCCTTGCGCGTCCCCGTCTCCCAGCGCCACGCCACCGCCAATCCTCATTGCCGCACAACTGACCGCGTCGGTGAGGCGGCCCTGTCGTTTCGCCTGGGACGTTTCCGTTCCGCCTTCGCCACTCATGATTTTGAGGCTCGACATCTCCAGCACCTGCACGACTGCAGGGCCGACAGCATCTCGCGTGTGTCTCTCGCCGTGGCGACGTGCACATACGTTCCAAAAGTGTCAAAGCGCTTCTCGGATGCAGCGCGGGCAGTATTCAGAATTTGCATCTCGCCTGAGCTCCGCGCACGCGTGCGTCAAGTGTCCCCAAAGGCTGCAGGGCCGACGGCATCTAGAATGTGTCTTTCTCCGTAGCGACGCGCACATACGTCCCAAAAGTTCCCAACACTCACGGATGCAACGCGGTCAGTATTCAGAAAGTGGTTCTCAATTTAGCGCCACGCAGCGTTGTGTCGAGCGTCCCGGAAAGTTGCACGGATCAATAGCGCATGGTTTTCAACATGTGTCTCGATCGTAGCCATAATGTACGGATGCAGGCGTTGTTGTTCCATGTGGTGTTCCAGTTGGATGTTTCAAATGGTATGGCCAGAAGTTCAGACACGAGCAACATGTTTACGGATGCAAGGCGGCACATTTTTCCAATCGGGTTTCTCGCTCGAGACGTCTTTATATTTCATCTAGTGACGTCGGCCCAACCCGTCAGCGTGGTTGGGTTGTGGACCAGAGGCATCTTAGATGCCTCTCGGGAGAACTCTCTTCGAGGTCGCACTCCTCCCAAAAGCCCTCGTCGTCCCTTGTTCGTGGCTCTAGCGCCGCATCAATGCGGCGGCGGAGCGTGTGGAGGATGAGGGAGCTAGGGTGGGGTAGGGTGGGAAGGAAGAGGATACGAAGGGTGGGAAGGCAGGTGGGAATGAAGAGGACGGGACGAAAGAGGAGAGAGAGAGAGAGAGAGGCCGACGAAGAGAGAGAGGGATGAAGGAAGGAAGAGGAAGGGAAGGAAGAGGAAGGGAGGGGTGGAGGGGGAGAGAGGGAAGGAGGGGAGAGAAGGAGGGAGAGAGAGAGAGAGAGAGAGAACAGGCGGCCGACGAGGACGAGAAGGAGGAGCAGGAACGGGAACGGGAAATGGACCATGCGGGGGAGGGGGAGGAGGAGAGGGGCAGGATGAACGAGGAGGAGGGACGAAGAGGAGAGACGAAGAGGAGGAAGAGGAGGAGGAGGAGGAGGAGGAGGTGGCAACGAGGCGAACCAGGAGGAAGGCGGAGGCCCCTCTTCCTCTCTCTTCCTCTCTCCTCCTTCCTCCTGCTGCTCCTGCGCAGCAGCCTGGGGTGGACCAGGAGTTCACGCCTGCCCCTCATGCCAGGAAGGACCTGGCGGGACGACGTCCCCTGACCAGCACGTCCTCGGCCTTACTCCTCTTCTCCCTCTTGCTCCTCCTCCTCCCCTTCCTCCTCCCTCCTCCTCCTCCTCCTCCTCCCCTCCTCCTCCTCCTCCTCCTCCTCCTCCTCCTCCTCCTCCTCCTCCTCCTCCTCCCTCCTCCTCCTCCTCCTCCTCCTCCTCCTCCTCCTCCTCCTCCTCCTCCTCCTCCTCCTCCTCCTCCCCTTCCTCCTCCTCCTCCTCCTCCTCCTCCTCCTCCTCCTCCTCCTCCTCCTGAGGGGACGTGCGCTCCCCCTGCTGCTGCTTCGCGTACGACAGCGATCCCCGCTCCGTGAACGCCGCGCGCGCCCGCGGGCGCGGGCTGGTCTTCGTAGCTCAGCTGGTGGCCCTCATTTGTTCGCTGGTAGCTCACGGAGGTCGGCAGCTGGCCGGGGTAGCCTTGGTGGCTCGTTGGCCTTCAGGTCAGCACGGCTGGCAACGGCATCCCTGGTGCCACTCACACAGTTGTGCGCTGTACAACGACGCGAAGATCGGGACAAAATCGGATCGGGGGTCGGGAAACATCGAAAGAACACGTGTGGAACCCATAACCCCCTCAACCCGAAAATTCGGGTCTTCGGGTTGGGTTGGGGTGGTCTGGTAGGTAGTCTGGTCCAGCGTGCTGGCCCAGCCCGCAGGCCGGGAGGGCGGCGCCGGTGCGGCGTCTCCGCGCTCCGCCTGCCGGGCCCCGCCTTCGCCAGACGGGGACCACCGCTGCGTCGGTTGCGTCCTCCTCCTCCTCCTCCTCCTCCTCCTCTCCTCCTCCTCCTCCCTCCTCCTCTCCTCTCCTCCTCCTCCTCCTCCTCCTCCTCCTCCTCCTCCTCCTCCTCCTCCTCCTCCTCCTCCTCCTCCTCCTCCTCCTCCTCCTCCTCCTCCTCCTCTCTCCCTGCCTCCCTCCCTCCCTCCCTCCCTCACCTTGTGGCAGTAGCACCTCTGTCCAGACGGGTCCATCGCGCTGGCCCACCCTGCAGGCAGGGCAGGCGGGTCTGGCTCGGCGGGCAGCTTGGGCCCCTCGTCTGCGCCGAGATCGTTCGATCTCTCCTTGGAGCAGGCGTCCTCGGGGTCGTTGGGTTTCTCGCAGTCCCGGTTGCCCTGTCCCTCGTCCTCGCGTTCTTCGTCCTCCCCTGCAGGTGGCCCTCGGAGTACTGCTGGTGGCTGTCGTAGCTCTGCTGGTGGCTGCCGTAGCTCAGCGGGTGGCGCTCGTAGCTCAGCTTGCTGCACCCGTAGCTCTGCCGGTGGCCTTCGAAGCTCCGCAGATAGCCTTCGTTTCTCTGCTGGTAGCCCTCGTAGCTCAGCTTGTGACCCTGGCAGTTCGGGTTGTGGCCCTCGCAGCCTGGCCTCTGGCCCTGGTAGCTCAGCTAGCGATTGCTCGCCAAGCTTTGCCAGTGACCCTCGTAGTTCAGGCCGTGGTCCCCGTAGCTCAGCTGGTGGCCCTCGGAGCTCAGCAGGCGGCCCTCGAAGCTCCGCTCGCCGCCATCGAAGTTCACCTCGTTGCCCTCGTAGCTCAGCAGGTTGCCCCTCAGCAGGTTGCCCTCCTAGCTGCGGTGGTGGCTCTTGGAACTCTGCTCGTGGCCCCTGTAGTTCGGCTGGCGGCCCTGGTAGCTCAGCTGGTGGCCCTCGGAGCTCAGCAGGTGGCGCTCCTAGCTGTGGCGGGGGCTCGAAGTTCTGCTTGCGGCCTTTGCAGCTGAGCTGGTGGTCCCCGTAGCACTGATGGTGGCCCTCGTAGTTGCTCAGCTAGTGGTCCTCGTGGCCCGGCTCGTGGCCCTCGTAGTTCAGCTCGTGGTCATCGTAGTTCAGTCGGTGGCCTTCGTAGCTCTGCTTGTAGCTCTCGTAGCGAAGCAGGTGGTAATGGTAACTCTGTTGTTGGCCCTGTTCCTCCTCCTGCTCCTCCTCCGCCTCCTCCTTCTCCTCCTCTCTCCTTCTCCTCCTCCTCCTTCTCCTCCTTCTCCTCCTTCTCCTCCTTCTCCTCCTCCTCCTCCTCCTCCTCCTCCTCCTCCTCTCGTCTTCTCCTCCTTATCCTCCTTCTCCTCCTTCTCCTCCTCCTCCTCCTTCTCCTCCTCTTCCCCTCCATCGTCAGGCGTCGTGACTCCTCCCCCTGCTCCATTCAGCCTCTTTCTGTCCGCGCTTGGGGGAGGGCTAAAACTGCTTCACGTTCCGATGCGAGAGTGGCGATCGACGCGAACCGAAAGCCGAACATCCAGCGGGTGGTCGGTGCTGAAATCACTCGCTCGTTCTATCTGCAGAGGTTCTCGCTCACGATCAGCCGCCGGCTTGTGTCCTCCTCCGCCCTCCTCCTCCTCCTCCTCCCTCCTCCTCCTCCTCCTCCTCCTCCTCCTCCTCCTCCTCCTCCTCCCTCCTCCTCCTCTCCTCCTCTCCTCCTCCTCCTCCTCCTCCTCCTCCTCCTCCTCCTCCTCCTCCTCCTCCTCCTCCTCCTCCTCCTCCCCTCCTCCTCCTCCTCCTCCGCCCTCCTCCTCCTCCTCATTCTCCTCCTCCTCCTCCTCCTCCTCCGCCTCCTCTCATCTCCCTCCTCCTCCTCCTCCTCCTCCTCCTCCTCCTCCTCCTCCTCCTCCTCCTCCTCCTCCTCCTCCTCCTCCTCCTCCTCCTCCTCCGCCTCCTCCTCCTCCTTTCCCCCCCCCCCACGAGGAGACGCCGCCCCCGCGGCCGCGCAGGCCACTGCCGCGACCCGGCCGGCCCGCCAAGCCGCCGGCGCCGGCGCCCGGGGCCCCGCCGCCGCGGCGGCCCCCGCGGGCTTCGAGGCCCGCCCCGCCCCCGCCGGCCTCGGGCCGCCGCTCGCCGTCCGCCGTGGCCCTCGGGGGCGGCGCGAGGCGGCCACGCGCCGAGGGGGGGATATCCCAGACCCCCTCGCGTCTATGCATAGGGGGACCCCTCCCTCGGCCACGCGCCGAGGGAGGAGACCCCCTATGCTTAGGCCCCCTTTCGCCTCGAACGTTGAATGCTGTTTCAATGACGTCGGCCTCCTGGGATCTCAACCCCTTCCCCTGGGCGGGCTTCTCCCCCTGAGCCGTGCTTTGACAATCCTGTGGCACAGCCCCGGCCTCGGTCCGACAGGAGGCCGCCGACCCCCGCCGAGACCCAGCGGAAGCAGCAGGGTGATGGGTCAAGCTGCCCACAAGCAACAAGCCGTCTCGCTCGTTCCATGACGATGAATAAATGACCGGGGGTCGTGTTCACGCGGCGGCGCCCGGGATGACGATTAGAGAAAACCAGCCGCGGGCTGGAAAGCTATGTTTTTAATCGTTCTCCTCCAGTCAGAAAATTATGCAGACATAGCAGGGAACTGTTTTTTAGCGTTCTCCTTCATTTTTCATTAACCGTCATCCCGCATTATCCCAGACCCCCTCGCGTCGTGACAAAAATATCGACAGGAGGCTTTTCGCTATTTTCGGGCCCTGGGGGGGGCCCTTACGGGGCCTCGGGACCTTCAAAAACGAGTCGGGATGAAAAGCCGGTCTTGGGGAATGGGTGCGGATCGTCGGGGGTCGATGTTGTGGAAACATCATGACGTCGGGGGTCCGCAAAGGGGGAAGAGGGGAGGGTGTCTCAGAAGGAGGCTGCTTCTTAGAAGGCGCGGGCCCGCGCCTTCTATGAACCAGCCTCCCTCGAAGAGGCAACCCCGCCTCCTTCCATACAGTACCCCCTTGTGCGCGCTGCCGATCAAGGGTTGCGTCAGGGGGGGGGTGCTCAGGGGTTCGAGGTTCGAGGATCGAGATCCGCTTCCTCCTGGAGACTCTCGATCCTCTGGGGCGCCCTCGTGGCCACGGGTGGATCCGCCTCGAAAAATCCGGGGCAGAGCGCGCGCCTCGTCTGCCGCCTGGGCGCCCGAGACGCCGCCCTCGGTCTCAGCGGCAGGGGGAGCACACAGGGAGGCTACGCTCGCCTGGCCTGGCTGCCTCGAGCCGGTCGACGGAGGCCTTCGTGGGCTCGGAGGCCTCGGCGATCGACGACGGACGGCCGCCGCGGCGCCCGCCGGCCGCGAGGCCCGCCCTCTGGCCGCGGGCCGCCGCCCGACGCCGCGCGGCTGTCGTCCGGACCTCCGACGTCGCAGGGAGCCCGCTGCGATCCGGTCGCTCAGAGCCCGACACCGATCTCGTCGCGGGCTCCCTCGGAGCCGTTTCCGGCCTCCCGGCGATCCGATGCGGCCCGATGCTCCTAGGGTCGGGGGCGGAAAAGAGGGGGGTGATGACTAGGGGGGGGGGGGATATCGTGGCGGGGGCCATGATATCTTCCCAGATTTCACGGCGCCTCTTCTCATTTCATTACGTCCCTGGCCCCCCCGCTGGGCCGCGCAGATGCCGCCAGTCATGATTTGCACCCCCCCCCCTCTTGGACACCCCCCTCTTGGCCGCTCCCGATCCTAGGGCGCAGTCGTGCGTCCCGGCGCAGCCGACCCGAGTCGATGTTTCGGCTCCGTGCCGGGCCGATGCAGCACCTTCAACACGTACTGATGAAGCATCCCGGCGGGAGGCGTTGCACAGTTTTCCCCGCGGGGCCCCTGGACCGTCCGAAAGCGAGCCTGGGGGGAGAAGCCGGTCTCTGGGGGACGGGTCGGGGCTTCTCGAGCAGGAGACCGTCCACAGAGTCGATGTACCCCACAATTGCTTCTTTCATCGAATCGACCAAGGCTCATGGCTCAAGGCTCAAGGCATAACTGCAGGCCCGAGGCATACCTCCAGGCGGATCTCCAGACCCAACTTTTCTCTGAACCGATGCCCATGCATTTCCCCACGAATCGAGATAGGCTTTCGGCCTTTTTCTGAGCAGGCATGCCTAAATCCTGAATCCAAAACCAGCGGCATGGTGGGCAGGCTGGGTCCTCGCCTCGAAAGCGGAAGCCGAAGACCACGGACGACGCGAACATGAGCAGCATGGACAAGGTATCGGATGAGCTCGTAGTCTCAGACGGACCCCCTCGAATGATTCAAGGACTCCAGAACTCGCCTGAGCGCGCAGCTCACCACGCTCACGACGGATTTGGCTGACGCCAAAACGAGCATCCATGAAACCAAGGATGATGCGGACCACACTTTATAAGTGGCCCGCCAAGCACTATTCCACGTCGAGGATGTAGAAGCTTTATCTCGAAGCTCTCCGGGCGGAGCTACAGGTAGAGTGCATCACGGGGGCGTCGCTCAACAAGGAGGTGGAAGCCAAGGTGATGGAGCAGGTCAAGAAGGCGCTGAGCACCCGAGCGGTAGCACGCAAGCGCGCCCTCAACATGGCAGAGTACAAATAGAAGGGGACGAAGTGGAGGAGTGTGAACGTCAAGTGATTTTGGGGCCTCCAGAAAGAGACATATTAGCAAACCTTTCCTAAACAGATTACCAGTCTCTGAGGCCATGGAGGTACCAGAAAAGATCGTCTGGAGTTGTACTTTTACCGACCCGTTTCGCGTTGGAGTTGCCCAACATACAGCGCATCGAGTAAGAATGGTTTCTTGAAAAAGACGCTTGTGAATCAGCATTAATGAATGGGACACAGAAAACAAGGTAAGGTGCGAGAGTAGCACCACATTCGAACAGCGCGTGGTCGACAAAATTGTGCGCCATATCAAGCACAAAATGGTCGTGAATGGGGTTCGGCAAACATGCACTCATAACCGATTGGGATGGGAGGCAGATCAGAGCACGATGCAAACTCATCGCGAATGTCGAACTGGACGGTATTGCAGGCGTCACTGGGGACCTGGGCGGAGCTCCCTATGGGGCCACGACACGTGCGAAGGGTGCGTCGGAACGGGGGTGCGCCCACATGCTGGCGGCGCCACGGGGACCCTGGGTGGAGCTCCCTATGGGGCCACGGACCATGTGACGCGCGTGCCGAAGCGAGGGTGGCGCCCACATGCGGGCGGTGCCATTGGGACCGTGGGTGGAGCTCCCTGTGGGGCCACGAACCGTGTGAGAGGTGTGCCGAAGCGGGGGTGGCGCCCACATGCGGGCTGCGCCACCGCGATCCTGGGCAGAGCTCCCCATAGGGCCACGGAACGTGTGAAACGTGTGCCGAAGTGAGGGTGGCGCCCACATGCGGGCGGCGCCACTGGGACCTCAGGTGGAGCTCCCCAGGGGGCCACGGAACGTGTGAAGCGTGTGCCATAACGGAGGTGGCGGGCTGCGCCATGGGGACATTGAGTGGGGCTCCCCATAGGGGCCACGAATCGTGCGAAGCGTGTGCCGAAACGGAGGTGGCCCGTCCTGCCCCCTTGCTTCCACCCGCCCGCACCCCGCCCCTTTTCTGGGGGGGTGCTGTCGCGCCTGCGTTGGCCGCCCAGCGCAGACGCCGCAACGCTCCCCGACGCCCTAGCGACGCGGCCCCATAGACCCTTCTGGCACGGCGGAGCCTTGCGGGGCGAGCCCCTCTGCTCTGAAGTTGGACATGTCCCTCTACAGGAGGCATATTCAAAGATAGTAAGAAAATGGTCTGGGGAAGATTTGTTCCGCGTGGTTTGACTATTGTTGAGTCTGTGTTGACTATTTGCTGTTTTCCTCCCAAATCCGCCTGTAGGGGGACATGCCCGCCCTAACCCCTAACCCTACTCCTCGTTCCTTCCTCCTCCCCCATCCTTCCCCTCCCGCCTCCCCCAGGACGACGCGTACGTGGAGCTGAGGAGCGATCCGATGGCTGGCGGCTGAGCGGCCCCCGGCACGCGCCCAACCAGCGGGGTCAGGGCTTCACGGCGAGGGAGGCGGGTGGGGAACAGCAGGCCGTCGATGAGGAGGGGAGGAGGAGGTGGAAGACGAGTTGACTGGCGAGCGGGAGGAGGGGGTGAAACAATGAGGAGGAGTCAAAGAAAGAATCACGAGGACGAGGACGACGATGGCGAAGAGCAGGATGAGAGAGGATGACCACGGGGGGAGAGGAGAACCCCCAAATGTTCCCTTCGTCCCTGCTCAGCCTTCCCCCTTCTCCCTTTACTGTCCCCTCCGCCTCCTCCTCTTCATCGTTTTCCTCCCCCTACCCCCTACATATTGTCAGCATCTTCCTCATCATAGTATGCCGTAACCTCTTCTTTACCAGTTGCCATCTCTCTGTGTGAGCTTTCGCTCTGTCTCACTTTATGTGTGGTATCTCTCTCTTTCTCTATTTCCCCTATCGCCTCCTACCTGCTCCAATTCCACAATTGACTGCCGAGGCGGGTGGCTTCTTGAAGAAGGACCAACTTGATGTCTGGGTTTGCTGACGCGCGCCGATGCCCAATCAGAACTGACAAGCCGTTTCATGATGATTACGTGTTTCATTCGTGTGAGTTCTTCCGCGTTCGTATGTTCATGGTTCGTACTACGCAGGCATGTGTGATTATGAAGCTTTGTGTCGTATACGGATTCACATTGACTCCATGTGTCGTATATACCATGGGCACGCGTCTGATTTGCATGAGCACGCGTGCAGTGCAATGCGCAAAAGCTATTCCCAGGTGCCATGCGAATGTGTAATACAGAGAGTTGTGTACCATTGCGGTTGCGGGTGTTCATGCATGCTTTGCGTAGGGTATCGTGCACGCCAGCATTTGCAGTGGACATTCCGCCAGAAGCGCGCATGGTGAGTCGTTGCTGTTGTTGCGGTTGAAGTCCCATTTCTAAAAAGTAATTGCTGCTGGTCCCCCCTCCAGTGCCCATCGTGCTCTTTCAAGCAAGGTGCTCTTACTGGAGCTCGCACCGTGATGTTACCAGGGAAAGCCTTGCGCCTCAGATTGGCTTGCTGGCGCCCGATTTACAACAACAGCGGCCCCCGCCATATTTTTTCTTTACTGTGTATTCACAATCGCGCTCTCACCCAGGACGCACTCACAAGTTATCCAGGACTCGCGCTCTCGCGTGTCACTTCCTCGCAACTTACTGAAAGGCCGCACCTCGGCACTCAGGAATAACGCTCTCGCTCTGGACATCCTCACGATTTGCTCAGGAATCTATCGCTCGAAACTTTCCTGCGATTCATGTTGGGGTGACGCTTCAGCGACCCGCCCGCTCGACCTGGCCGTCAGGGCCCGCCCGCCCGACCCGCCTGTCAGGCTCCGCCCGCCCGACCCGCCCGTCTGGTTCTGCCGTTTGCTCTCCTGTTCCGAACCCCATCTTGCAAAGGTCTCTCGTGCTCCATCAGTTTCCCTCCCCCGTGTCTCTTCCCTCCTCCCTCCCTTCCCTGTTTTGAAGGCTGCGCCAACGACGCGTGGCAGGGAAGGAAGAAATAACCCTAGGAGCGATGCGATCGAAGACGAAGAGGGCGGGTATCGAGATTTTCGGATACACGCCTTACATGAGACGCGAGCATATGAAAGCGAAGAGTCTTAACATGGTTGTTGCTGCTGTTGCTCAATGCCTCGGTCTAACGCGAGTCCTGGCGTCTGGTTATTGGGCGGGCTGTTCCACTGCTTCGACTGTGTGTTTAAATGAATTTGCGTTATAGTCAGAGATGGACGAGGAGGAGGAGGAAGAGGTGGAGGAGGAGGAAGAGGGGCAAAGGACAAGCTAGGTGCGCTCGCGTCATATCTGACGTCCTACCCCTCCCTCCCATCCCTTACCATGGCGCTGATTTTCTCTATCCGCGGACGCGTGTCGTAGCGGACCTGTGGCTCCGCGCGCGCGTGCGTAGTGGGTGGTGGTGCACGTGCGTGCGTGCGTGCGTGTGTGCGTGGTTGTCGTGGTGGTGTGGTGGTGGTGGTGTGGTGGTTGGTGGTGGTGGTGGTGGTGGTGGTGTGGTGGTGGTGGTGGTGGTGGTGGTGTGGTGGGGTGTGGTGATGGTGGTGGTGGTGGTGCTGGTGGTGGTGGTGTTGGTACTGGTGCTGGTGCTGGGGTGGTTGTGGTGGTGGTGTGGTGGTGTGGTGGTGGTGGTGGTGGTGGCGGTGCGGCGCGGTGGTGGCGGGCGGATGGGCGCGCGAGAAAAAGGCCCGCGCTGGGGCGAGAACGCCATCCTGAACGACGGAGGCCAAACACCGATCCGAAAATGAGGCCCGCGCTGCAGCGGGAGCACGATTCGGAACGATCCGGGAGCAGAAATGAGGCCGGCGCCTCAACGAGAGCAGCATTTTGGGAAAAAATGGCGCTGGCGCCTCAGCGAGAGTCGTTTCCCGGGATTTCCCGGGAATCTTGTATGTAAAAAAACAGTACGCGGAGGGTGCGCGGCCATCACCCGGACGCCATCAGGGGAAGAGGGAGAGTATTTTCATATTGAGTAATTGTGGAGAACAGGAAGAGGAGGAGAAGGAAGATGGAGAAAAGAAGGAGGAGGAGGAGGAGGAGAAAGAAGGGGACGGGGATGGAAGAGGAGGCGGATAGGAGGAAAAGGGGCGGGGAGGAGGTCCCCGGAGGGATAGGAGGGAGTCCCAGCTCACAGCGAGCTGTGCGGAGCGAAGAGGCGACGATGGCTAGCCCGTCTTGGCGGGTGGGAGCCTTTGGAGGCTGCATGAGATATGAAGTCAGAGATCCTTTCAGTGCATCGGATCGCGGCCTGGCGTGTTTTGAGCTCGGAGGTCCTGTCGGATCAAGGATCGCTATTTGCGTGTTCTGAGCTCCGAAATGTTGGCATCGGGTCGAGGATCGTGGCGTTGCCATCTGTAAGCTCGGAAATCTTGCCAGTGGATCGAGGATCGGAGGCGTCATTGGCAGGATCCGTGGTCACTTCGAGTCTTCCGGGATGCCCCCGAGATGCCCAAACTTGACAAAAGCTTAGGGCGTTCAAGTGATCTTAGTTCCGAGCGAAAGGGGCGGGCGGTGCCGACTCGCGTCGCCACGCTTGAGCCAGAAAGGTCGCCACGTGCGGCTCTCTTAGAAGGCTCGCGGGGCATTCTTGGTTGGGACTGTCTGTTGGGGCTGTCGTTTGGGGCTCTCCTGGGACATCCACCGGGAGCGAAGAGGCGAGAAGGCAGACAGCAGGCGCTGTTTGCTGTGCCCCAGAGAGCTTGCTTGCAAGGGCTCTGCCTGGCCTCTGCAGAGCGCCCGGTGAGGCATGCCGGGCCCTCGAAGATCGGGGGCCCGTGGACCCCCATCGCCCGCCCCCCGTTGCCAACGATTGTCGTGCCTCACGCTCGGTGAGGGCTGCAGGGCCTCCGGGATCTGGGGCCCGCTGCCCCCCCCCCGTGGCCCCCAGCGTTGCCCCCCCCCCTCGCTGCCCCCCGTCGCTGCCTGGGTCGGAGTAGATGGCATCGAAAAACCGGGCTGCATCGCCGTTGCATCGGCGATGCATCGGCGATGCGGCTCGATGTGGGGCCCACTTGTCTCCACTCCGAGGTCGCCAGCGCATCGCCAGTGCATGGCCGATACATCGCCGATGCATCGCCGATGTATCGGCGATGCGGCGCGATCCTTCGACCCCTATTTAATTACTCCGACCCCATCTAGGAGGCCTCTAGTTGCCCAGTATCGTTGTCCCCCATGGCTGCCACTGCAGACGTGTTTGGGGTCCTCGGCCGCACGTGTGCCATGTTGGAAGGTTGGGCGTCGTGGGGATCTCTGTGGGATGCTCCCTGCGTCGGGGGGCGGTCTTGGGTCATCTTGGAGGCAACTTGGAGGCTATCCTGAGCCATGCTGCGATAGATTGTCCCCTCGTGGAGGTCATCTGGGGCTCGCTGGAACCATATCGGGTAATCCTGGACGCTCGAACCATCCTCGCGGGGCGGGTCGTCCAGACCCAGGGGAGAGGGTCAAGCAGAGGGTAGTAGAGAGGGGCAATCCCTCCCCGAGAGAAGGGGGGCGGAAGAAGGAGCGTTCTAAACCACCTCCGCCCAGAGGGCCATCCTCAAGCAGAAGGAAACAGAGAAGCGACTCATCGACCCTTCTCCTCCTCCCACAGTCTGCTCTCTCTCCTCCCTCCTCCCTCTGAGATCCTGCGGAGAGCCTCCCAGCATCTGCACCTTACGACGCGGCAGCCGAGCCGCCAGCGGAGAGGACGGACAGGACGGCGTGAGGACGCGAGAAGAATCCCGCCGTCCGCGCTGCAGGGCGCCAGCTCTCGTGCCGTGTGGGTGTGCGCCACCTTCAGGGCGGAGGCATCGGCCCTCGGGATTACGGTCAGGAACTCTGGGATTGCGTGTCGCTCGTCCGGCTCTCGCCCACCGCGCCTCGCAGCGGCACGCTGTCCACTTCGCGGTCGGTCCCCAGGCGCCCACGCGCCGAGCGTTTTCCCAGCCTCCCGCCCCGCGAAGCGGAGCGACACGCTGTGCGTCTGCAGGGCGCAGCGTGTCGCCGGGGCCGCCGCCGCGACACGCTATGCAAAAGTGCCCCCGACCGCAATGAGCCAGGAAAGCTCAAAAAGTTCATCCTCCCTCCTCGCCCCCCCTGGCGAGTGGTGGCCCAGAACCTACTACGGTGGAAGACTCGCGCAGAAGGCTTCTTGGACTAGATGCGTCGCTTCCTCCCCTCCGGCAACTACAACGAGTGAGCCTTCTGGCGCTCCGGCGCACCCGCCGGGCTCTCATAGGGCCGTCCCTCCAAGACGCTTTCCGGCGCTCCTCCTCCTCCTCCTCCTCCTCCTCCTCCTCCTCGTCCTCGTCATCTCCCCCTCCTCCTCCTCCGCCTCCTCCTCCTCCTCCTCCTCCTCCTCCTCCTCCTCCTCGTCCCCCCCTCCTCGACCCGCAGGAGGCCGGCGGGGCGTGGTCGGTGTGGCCGCGCAGGGGCGGCAAGACTTTCAAGGGGTTCCTCGGCTACGGCTACAGCCGGGCCTTCGCGGAGGGCGGCAGGGTCGCGCAGGCGCGCCTTGCGGCGACGACGACGACGGCGGCAGGGACCTCGCCGTCGTCCTCACCGCCTCGTCCTTTCCGCATCCTCTTGCGCCTGCTCCCTGTTTTTATTTTTTATATTTATATATATACCTATATAATATATATATATATATATATATATATATTTGACCTCCTCCTCCTCCTCCTCCTCCTCCTCTCCTCCTCCCCGGCTGCTGGGATTGCGGTAGGTAGCTGCGGGTAGAGGGGAGCGTACTCTTCTTCTTACGGTCGTCTCCTCCTCCTCCTCCTCCTCCTCCTCCTCCTCCACCTTCTCCCTCTCATCCTCCTTCTCTTTCTCTTCCTCCTCCTCCTCTGCTCCCCCTCGTCCACCTCGGACGGTCTGGGGGGTTGCCACGAGGCCAGTCAGGCACAAATTCGCAGCCAGTCAGTGGCACCACCGCCTGGAGGCAGTCAGCCTGTTACCCTTGGCTGCAATGTGCGCTACCCAATTTCCAGGCCACCTCCTCCTCATCATCACAATCATCATCAGCATCATCATCAGCATCATCAACATCATCGTCAAACTTACCGTTTCCATCATCATAGCCATGCTCGTCATCAGCAGCATCATCAATTGAATCATCATCAGCAGCAGCATCATCGGCACCGTCACCATGACCATCTTTATCCTTTATCACCATCATTATGATCGACATTCACATTATCATGTTCGTCGTCAGTGCCATCATCATCAGCACCATCTGCGTCGTCATGAGCATCGCCCCGTCAACATCATCATAGTTTGCAGTTTCATTGTCATCAGCATCGTCGTCACCACCATCATCATTATCTTTCTTCTCCTACTCGTCATCCTCATTCGCATTCCCATTCTCATTTTCATCCTATTAAGCGTCGTTTGCGCAAGGAGGGAAGACGGAGGGACGAGGAGGAGGAGGAGGAGGAGGAGGAAGTGGCAGCAGGTAAGATGGAGGGGAAGGATCAGGCGCACGCACGCACGCACGCACGCACGCACGCACGCACGCACGCACACACACACACACACACACACACACACACACACACACACACACACACACACACACACACAAAAACACACAAAAACACACACATACTCGCACACGCGCACGTGCACGCGCACACATACGCACACGCACACGCACATGCACAATTACACGCGCACGAACACGCACACGCACGCTCATGCACACGCGCACGCGCACGCTCACGCGCATGCCCACGGGCACCCGCACCCGCACGCGCACGCGCACGCGCACGCGCACGCACACGCACACGCACACGCACACGCACTCGCACTCACACACGCACACACACCACACACACACACACACGCACGCACGCACGCATGCAGGTACGCTCGCACGCACACGCACACACACATACACACACATTACCCACTCACTCACTCACTCACGCACTCACTCACACAAACACACACACACACACACGCACTCACACACGCACACACACACACACACGCACGGACGCATGCACGCACGCCAACCCGCACGCGCACATACACACACACACACACACACACACTTTGTTGGCGTCGCGGCCACGCGCGCAGCAGCACGGCGCTGAAATTGTGGCGAAGAGACGCGCGCGGACAGCCCAGGTCATGCGTCGTGGGGACCCAGGATCCGTCCACAAGGGATCGACGGGGTAAGTACTTCGCGGGAACACACACACACACACACACACACACACTTTTTTGGTCTGCAAGGCGAGAGCGAACCTCTTCCGCTAAAAGCTAGGCGGGCTACGCACAGCCTTAATTAGGGAGACAGGGCACAGGAAGGTGGGGCCTCAGGCGGACGGAGCGGGCGGAGCCCGGGGTGCACGCGGTGCCGAAGAGCTTGCACAGGAAAAGGTACGCCGCGGACGGGCCCAGGGAACACACACACACACACAACGACATGTTTTGCTCGAGAGTGAGGATGGACCACAATCCCCAGGTGTGCTGAACGGGGCGCGTTTACCTTGAATGGATCACCTTGGGTGGGGACGTGCACCAGACCAGTCTTCCCAGAGAGAGAGAGAGGCAGCCTAGACAGGTCCATGCAGGAACAGGGGCGCCAGGGAAGGGGGTCCAGTGCCGATCCAAGAGGTCCGCGCAGAGCTCCGAACGCTTACATTTATGTAGCATTCGCTTCTTCTAAGATGGCTGGCTCGACCGGCATCACCCGTGCCAGTGCAGGCACGTGTACCAGCCCGTTGACGTCGAGCCGCGTGCAGCGAGGGCCGCCAAGGGCCCCGAGAGAGCCTGGCCACCCTGAGCGAAAGGTAGTTCGAGGCCGAGCGGCCCACCTGCAGGTAGGACAGGCCCCCACTGAGGCCAGCGCAAGTGGAGGCCCCACTGAGACTAAGCCCCCAGCACACGGACCCAGACCCCATCGAGTCATGACAAGGTCACGACGCCAAGTCTTTCGCTGTTTTTGGCCTCTGGGGGTCCCTTCCCGGGCCCTGGCACCTGCAATCAGCGCTTCAGGAGGAACAGCCGGTCCCAGGAAATGGGTCCAGACCTCTGGGGGTCGGGTCGTGGAAATTCATCACGTCGGGGGTCTGGGGGCAGAGGGGAGGCGGCGTTGCAGAGTTGGCCGTGCCCCCATCCACGCCCAGCCCCTTCTGTAGTCCCCCCTGGCCCCCTTAGCCGATTCGGGCTAAGTGCTTCAGTCGGGGCGCTAACCCACTTAGCCTACTTAGGCTACATAAGTCCTTGCTAACCTATTGTAGTGGCCTTCGGCCAGTGCCGCCGATCCGGGGCGCTCCGACTGATGTGATCCTTCTTCGCCCTCGTCCCTCCTCTCTTTTTCCCTCCCCTCCTCTCACTCAGCATTTATCCAGTGGCCGTCGGCCTATCCCGCCACCGTGCGTGGGTGGTGGGTCAGAGGCCTCATGGATGCTGGTTGGGATCTCGTGGTTGGCTGGGACTTCTGGGGGCCTCTTGGGCGCCTCTTGGGGCTTCTTGGGGGCCTCTTGGGCCTCTTGGGGCCACTAGAGGGCCTCTTGGGGGTCTCTTGGGAGCCTCTTGGGGCTTCTTGGGGGCCTCTTCTGCGCCCCTTGGGGCCTCTTGGAGGCCTCCTCGGAGCCTCTTGGTGCGGGAGGGGTGGTACTCGAGTTCGGAACCCCCTCGGAGGCCACGATCCTTGTGAGGGGTGTCAAAAAACGCATCCGCCGGAAACTCGCACCCCCCCCCCCCCCACCCCCCCTTCCCCGGCAGAGCCACCCCGGCAACCCCCCCAGAGGCTGAGGCTCAGCCTCGAGGCTGTAGCTGAGACTCCTTGAAACTCACACGCCGGATCGGCGGACTTAGGCTAACCACTTAGATCCTACTTGGCTAAGTGGCCGAAGTGGGCGGCTAACCACCTAGAAGTGGGCTAAGCACTCAGTAAGCGGGCCGCCGATCTCAGAGCTGGCGCCAGCTCCTGCACCGGCGGCCCTCCACGGGGCAGGGCCAGCCCCGTGAGGAGGAGGAGGAGGAAGAGGAGAAGGAGGAGGTCTGCCTGTGGAGGAGGGGGAGGGGAAGGGGGAGGAGGAGGAGGAAGAGGAGCAGGAGGAAGAGGAGGAGGAGGAGGAAGGAGGAGGGAGGAGGAGGAGGAGGAGGTGGAGGAGGAGAGGGGGAAGGAGGAGGAGAGGTAGGAGGAGGAGGGAGGAGGAGGAGGAGAGAAGGAGGCCGGGCCTGGCGAGCGACTGCCGTCGGCGATAGCCAGCCAGGCCAGCAGAGAAGCAAGTCGCGCGGCCACTGGACGAGAGAGAGTGAGCCGGCATGCGGCGGGCGGGCCGCGGGCCCGTCCTCCTCCTCCTCCTCCTCCTCTCCTCCTCCTCCTCCTCCTCCTCCTTCTCCTCCTCCTCCTCGTACCTTCCTCCCTCCTCCTCCTCCTACTCCGCTCCTCCTCCTCCTCCGCCTCCGCCTCCGCCCTCCGCCTCCTCCGCCTCCTCCTCCCCTCCTCCTCCTCCTCCTCCTCCTCCTCCTCCTCCTCCGCGTAGAAGTGACCTTTCGCCAGCGTGACCCTCAGTGCGGGCCCACAGGGGTCCTACGCGCTTGGATTTGGCCCCCTCGCGGCCCCTGAAGCCGCGCACCAAAGGTCACTCTTGCCCAGGGTGGCTCTTCTGTGTGGCCGACTCGGTGCGCCAGGCACCCACGAGAGCAGACGCTGAGCAGAGGTGAGCCCAAGCCAGCGGGGCCGCGCCGAGGCGCTTGGAATCCTGCAGAAGGGAGCGGACGAGCCAGGGCGGCGGACGCCGCAGCTCCCGAGGGGCGAATTCGACGAAGCAGACAGGGGGGCCGAGGGCCCACGTCCTGTCCGGAGGCGGAAGTCCCCGGTGCGCCAGGCGCTCACAGCGGCACCGCTGCCGGAGCGCGAAGCCCGTGAGTTACCCTGGATGCCCTTCGACAGCAGGGGGCGGAGAGCGAGGAGGAGCAGGAGGAGGAGGAGGAGGAGGAGGAGGAGGAGGAGGAGGAGGAGGAGTAGGAGGAGTATGAGGAGGAGCAGGAGGAGGAGGAGGAGGAGGAGGAGGAGGAGGAGTGAGGTCCTGCCGAGACTTGCCGCCCGAGCCGTCGGACACCGACGCGGCCGAGAGTCTAAACGCCCGCGTCAGCAGCGGATGGAAGCGGCACTGAAGAGGAACCAGGCCTCTGGAGGGGCCCCCCCCCGTGGTGCGCCGTGTGAAGCGGATGGCCAGCACCCGCGCGGGCGGCCGAGAGAGAAGATAGGGGAGGAGAGGCAATCGGAACAGGCAGGCACGTGGGTGAGGCGTCCAGCCCACACCCCATCACGACGGGACCCAGCGGGTCGGAAAGGGGGGCCGAAACCAGGCGATTGTTGACACATGCGCACATAAGCACACACGCACACACACACAGACCTACACACGCACACACACACACACACGCGCGCACATGCACACACACACACACGCACACACACACACACACACACACACACACACACACACACACACACACACACACACACACACACACAC